TGATGAGATTTGATTGATTTAAACATACCAGAATGACAATGACTCCCAATACAGCGCTTTGATTTCAGGCCTCCCGTTTGCTACAGCATTCAAAAATGATTTTCAAAACTCTTTTTTACAATAACTAGATCAATGTCCATAGATTAATACAAGTAACTAATTAAAATTATATAATAAATATATTTAAATTAAAATTATTATTTTTTTGTATTTTAAAGGGATTGTTCACCCCAAAATTTCAATTATGTCATCGTTTAGTGAACTTCAAGTTGTTCCAAACCTGTATGAGTGTCTTTCTTCTGTTGAACATAAAATAATATATTTTGAATTACATGCCAAACAGTTGACGGTAGCCATTGAAATATAATTAATTTACATTTTCTAAGTCTAGAAATCAGACTTTTGAAATTAGGCTACTTCATACATCAACATACACCATCTTGTTTCAAGGAAATGCATGAAAAAGGATTGATTTAATGGGATCTTTTAACGTGGAGCAAGCATCACTGACATGAAATATGTTGTTTACATTGGTTCTGACAGGAAATGTTCATTCTTAATTCACAAGCTTCAAGCAACACTTTTTGCCACATTTCTTCTCCAGTTGCACTAAACTAAACTTCCATTGTATGTGTGTTACTATGTTTTACGTTTCGTTATTTTCCATGGCAATTGTGCTTAAGCTGCATTTAACCCAGAATGTTCTTTTAAATATGTGTCTGTTTAGCGAAGGAATTGGGAAGAAGTGTTTGTGGGGTCTTGAGAGGCTTGTGGAAGGACGAATTGATGGAAAATCTCCGTGACTAATGTCTGGGAGCGGTCACGCAAGTGTCAACATGTATCTGCGCCTCTCCGCTCACATTAATGGTGTGTGTGTGTGTGTGTGTGTGTGTGTCTCTGTGTGTGTGTGTGTGTGTGTGTGTGTGTGTTTCTGATATTCACCTGTGTGTGTGTGTGTGTGTGTGTCTGATATTCACCTGTGTGTGTGTGTGTGTGTGTGTGTGTGTGTGTGTGTGTGTGTGTGTGTCTGTGTGTGTGTGTGTGTGTGTGTGTGTGTGTGTTTCTGATATTCACCTGTGTGTGTGTGTGTGTGTGTGTCTGATATTCACCTGTGTGTGTGTGTGTGTGTGTGTGTGTGTGTGTGTGTGTGTGTGTGTGTGTGTGTCTGTGTGTGTGTGTCTGTGTGTGTGTGTTTCTGATATTCACCTGCTTCTGTTCAAATTCAGCTGCCTCCAGCCCAGCGTGCAGGAAAAGCTTTCCAGATTTCCCAGCCCATAAATTCACCAGTTTAAGCTTTTCTTCAGATTTCAGCTCAACACCGCCAGACAGTAATTTGTGACACTTTTATAACTCATGCTTTTTAGGTTGGAGACGTCATCAGCGCTTGAAACAAACACTCTGTGTCTAATGGGAGTCTCATAATTAAATAATCTTAATGAATTTGGGATAAAAACGCCCAAAATAATAATCATATCAGTTTCTAATCATTGCTGTGGATAGGCAATATGCTAGTAATATGCATGCTAATAAGCAGAGAGAACTGGTCCTTAAAATAAAGTGTTACCAGAAATCCATGCTGCTTGTGCAATGCCAAGTCAGCTTTGTGAGGAACAGACTAAAATGTAAGTCATTATTCATAGAAACACTTACTTCCACAAAGAGGAGGGGGAAAAAAGAGTCATATACAGATTTTGATAAATGTATGACTTTTTCATTTCGTTCCTTATTCCTGCAGGTGTGGAACCTTTATGAGATTTCCTTAATGAAAATGTTTTAGCAATGTAATCAGTGCAGTGGAAATTGAATGTCAATCACTCTTTTAATAGTTGTGAACTTCATCAGTGGGACTGAATTATTAATGAGAGAGCTGAAGATCTGAAAAAAGGTTGTTGAATAATGAAGATGCACAGAAAAAATCTTTATTTAAAGTGTTCTACTACAGAGCAAAATACTTTTTTCCTTTAGTAAATCTGATTTTGGTAACACTTTACATTAAGGTTCCCTTTATAAAGGGTTTATAAAGGTGTTAATAAATGACTAATAACTCACTCACAAATGCATTATAAATCATTGACAAGCAGTTATAAATGCATGAGTAAAAGAGTGATTTTGATGCAATACCTGCCAAATAGTGAGCTATTTTTAACTCACATGTAATAAATGCTTAACAAACATATTTATTCATACGTATTTCACTCAAAACCAGATTCCTAAATTTATTTCATGATGCAGCAAATATTTACTATTATAGCAAGACTGAAGGTTGTTGTATTTATGGTTTTCTCATTTATATCTCATGACTCGCGTCACTTTTCTTACAATGTTTTTTACCAGAATCTACTCTGTACCTTACCCATGATTCTCCGCAAACGTTCATGATGCCTATCCACAGCACTGATTAGAAACCAATATATTTTGCTTATCAAGATGAAATTATCATCTTGATTTTTATTTTGGGGAAAAATCATAAAAGCACACCCATAACTTGATGAGATATTAATATTGAAAATTTTAATTCCAATATTACCTGTGAACTTTAATGTAATGAACCATTAATTAATGATTTACAAACATGAATAACCTCTGAAAGTGCATCTTAATGTAAAGTGAACACCTGTGAACCATTTATTAACGATCTATAAATATTAGTAACCTTTGAAAGTGAACCTTAATGTAAAGTGAACATCTGTGAACCATTTATTAATGAACTATAAACGTTAATAACCTGCAAAAATGAACCTTAATGTAAAGTGAACATCTGTGAATCAGTTATTAATAAGTTATAAATGTTAATAATGTGCAAAAGTGAACCTTAATGTAAAGTGAACACCTGTGAACCATTTATTAATGAGTTATAAATATTAGTAACAGTAAAAGTGAGCTTTAATGTAAAATGCACACAATAATTATTGATTGATTGATTGATTGATTATTATTGCACACACAGAAAAAGTTAGTATTTTCTGGTGAAATAAATGTTATTGTTGTTGCACTACATTAGCAAACAACTTTCAACTTGAAACAAAAAGATTAATCTTTTCTTTTACAGCACACTGGAACATTACTGAGCATAACTTCACACACAAAAAAGTGGCTTATAAAAGTAAACTCACATTATAACTAAGCATCAAATCTATACAACAAAAATATTTGATAAATGCAAAATCAATAAAGGCACCTAAATATTTTTATTTGATCTAATTTAACAGTTTTGAGTAAATAATTAAATCAATGATTGAAAAGCACCATTACAAAATATTATCATATTAATAAGCAATCAGTAATTACTTTTTGATATTGTCATGATCTCCAGCTGGAGTGCCCATGAGCTCCTCTAGAGGGCACTCCATTCTCTACCTTGCTATTCACTCAGGACTCCATTTCCCATAATCCTTTGCCCGGACTCATCAAGTGCATCACCTGTCTCTCATCAGATCTCATCATCAGTTCACAGCTGTCTCACATTAGTAGGAACTCATTATTGCACCACACCTGTTTCCTATCAGTGACACTATAAAGGTTGCACTCATTCACACACACATTGCTGATTATTGTTTAGCCTGTACCCTGTTCCGAGTCTCTGTGTTTCCTTGCCTTGCCTTCTTGTTTCTTGACCTTGGACTGTTTATTGGATTGCTCTTTTGTCTCGTCCTGGATTGTACCTGTTTGCTGGTGTTTGACCCTACCTGTTTTGACCACTCTTGTGAATAAAAGCTGCATTTGGATCCTCAACTCCGTTGTCACGCCTCCCACGTTACAGATATCATGATAAAGCCCAGTGTAACTTCAGTATTTGTTCATCCACACTCAGTAACGTTACCTGCGCGCAAGCGAAACGACCGCGAAAGCGCCAGAGCGGTTATTTATTTGTATGGTAATGAATTAATTAAACTAGCAAAGCGATTACACATATAAATACTTGAACAATATACTTTGCAGTGTCACCTTACAGTTAGCGGAGCAGTAACATTAATAAACACAATGTGAGAGCACGCTTCATAGCACGTTGGAACAATCCTAATAGCGTGACTTCTTCTTTGAAAACGTGACTTCACATCGGAATGCTCGCTAGCGCCATTCACAGGCTTTGGTGACACACAGGCAACTACAGACACACAGGCTTTGGTGATGTGATCCTGAAAGAATATAATAAAAATGCATTATATGCAATGAAAATTATTTTTATTAGTAGTAGTAGCTATATACTTCTAAAAAAAACATTTGTCACAGATTGTATTAAAGTGCAGTGAGGAAGCAGGATTCAGATGCAGCAGTACCTACTATGTTTTTTAAGAAGATTACTGAACTCAGGGAAATGTAGGACAACAAACCATTCACATAAAAACGAATTTAGACAACCAAATACTAAAACTCTACTACTCTATACCAGGGGCAGTTTCTCCATTAGGGCCAATTAAAAATCAATTAAAGACGTAATAAAACAGACGATGAACACTATTAACAGCAATTATTGTGATGCATTCAAACTTATAGCTAAATGTGTTAGTTCTGTATGTTGTTTCAGGGTTGGCATCATCTGAGGTCCTCTGAGGGGTTGCATCATCTCTTCTCAGGTGTTCTGGATCCAGACTGAAGTTTGTGTAAATCCTAGTTACCACGGGATGTCAATCCCGGCAGAAACAGAGAAACAAATAGAGACATAATTAGCGTAGCTGCTGTTCCAACCAAGCAAAATTGATTTGTTTAACCCAAACTAAAGAATAATAATGTGCATTTGATCAGATATAACTGCAGTACAAGATTATGAGATGCATTATTTGAATGCTTGGCCAAAGAGATGTGTCTTTAATCTAGATTTAAACAGAGAGAGTGTGTCTGAACCCCGAACGTTATCAGGAAGGCTATTCCAGAGTTTGGGAGCCAAATGCAAAAAAGCTCTACCTCCTTTAGTGGACTTTGATATCCTAGGTACTACCAAAAGTCCAGAATTTTGCGACCTTAGGGAGCGTGATTGTAGCGTGGTAGAAGACTAGTTAGGTACGCAGGAGCTAACCCATTAAGGGCATTATAGGCAAGTAATAATATTTTGTAACTGATATGGAACTTAAGAGATAGCCAGTGCAGAGACGGTAAAATTGGGGAAATATGATCATATTTTCTTTACCTGGTAAGGACTCTAGAAATATGTCCTAAAAGTAGATAACAGTTTTAGTTTAAACACTCTCTCAAGAACAACTTTCATTTGATTTCCTTATGCTGTATTTGATCATGTTTTCATGAATTCCAATGAACACACACTTGAGGATTAGTGTGAACTTACAGTGTTTTGCTGACCGCATCCAGAGAGGAGTCTTCAGCTAAAACAAATGCAACCAAACAAAGAAATGTGAATGGTGTCATCTGCTATCTGAACAAAATGACTAAATCTAGTGGAGAAAAGAAAAGGTAATTTAAAACAATATTTACAAAAATATTTCTGTATTCATTAGAAACTTTTCTTGTAAGCTGTACTCTATTTTCTTAGTGATTTGGTCCCTTGAGTTACATAAGGGTTTTGTGCACACATAAATCCTGTTTAAAGATTATGATTGAAATGTATCTATAGCTTTTCAAGAGCGTGGAACATCCTCAAACTTTACTGATTGCTTACACAGTAAAATACTACCAAGCGAGTATTAAATTAACTCGGCTCGGAGCATATATGGTCCCACTCTAAAAGAGTGTTAAAGTAACACTGAAGCAGTGTTAAAGTTAATGAGACAATTAAGTGATTAATTAAGTGCTGATTGATCATTAGTAATGAACACCTGATATTAACAAGCAGAATCACTGAAGAAAAGAGAAACACAAGAACTACAACTGACTTCAGCCACAGCCTTAGATTAAATCAACTGAAATAAAAGAAGAAATTAAATCTCTCAAGATCTCAGCAGAAGATAATTAAACAACTCCACAAACAACATCACCAGCTTCACAAATTACTAACCAGTTTAACTTTTATTGTCATGCATCAAAAAAAATTCTTATTAAGAATTAACAGAGGTTTAGATGTTAATGTTTGAAGTCACCATTATGCAGATAAGTGTTTGCTTTAGTTGGACTCTTGACCCTCTAACATTAGTTTTTCTCTGGTTGCTGTAACTGTGTTTATGAAACACATTTGTTATGGCAAGAAACAACAAACTACAAGAGAAAATGTGATCAAGTAATATTGCCCGTTTTTTGATAATGCTGTAGATATCATGTACAGCCTGATTCACTGACATCATCAGTGATGATGTGTAATTTAGTTTTTTTATGGATCATAACTGCATTTTATTGAAATAATATGAAGAACTTTAAAAAATATTTAAATAATTGTTTCTTTTATTCTTAATATTTGCTGTTATTTTTGTGTGACTTTTTACTGCCTTGTTTTTTGACGTTCAAAAATCATATAAAAATTATCCGAATATTTTGTCACCATCGCTGAGATTCACATGCTGATTCTTCATGTCTATGAGTGACAGAATTGAAATCTCTTTGTGAGCCATATTTCTAAAAGTGCTTTAACAATTTTTCTCACGTTGTCTCATATCATAGAACTGCAATAATACGGAAATCATAAAACCACTACATATTTTGATAAACTGCAATCAGAGACTCAAAAGCAAATTTTTCATAAGTTCCTTGCCATCACATATGTGCTTTATAAACACAATTGTAACAGCCAAAGAGAAACTTATATTTAACAAGTCAAGGGTCAAGAGGCAACTACAGCAAACACTATTCACCAAAACGGTAAGTTGAAAAAAAAACTAAACCTTAATTTTCAATAAAGAACTTCTGTTTTAGATACTCCAGAAATAAAGTCAAACTGGTTAGTAATGCATAAAGCTGGTGATGTTGTTTGTGGAGTTGTTTAATTATCTTCTGCTGAGACCTTGAGAGTTTTAATGTCTTTTATATCAGTTGATTTCATCTAAGGCTGTGGCTGAAGTCAGTTGTAGTTCTTGTGTTTCTCTTTTCTTCAGTGATTCTGCTTGTTAACAGCAGGTGTTCATTACTAATGATCAATCAGCACTTAATTAATCACATAACTATCTCATTAACTTTAACACTGCTTCAGTGTTACTTTAACACTCTTTTAGACCATACAGTATATGCTCCGAGCAGTGTTAATTTAACACTTAGGATATTACTGTGTAGCTTTCAGTGCAATGGTTAGATACAGTATGTTTCAGTTGTAATAGTTGTAAGTGTAAAACAGCCAGACTTACTTTTCATGTTGACGGTTCATCGTATAGATATGGAGATGGTTAATTGTCCTAAAATCAATAACAATTTAGTCAAACACTCTCAAGTAAAAATGTTCTTAATTTTCATTTATTTCTATAAACACTGAATGCTGACAGCTCTCAAAGAGAAGTACTCACCTTAAGACATATATAGTCCGACAAACAAAATGTGAACAGTGTCATCTGTAATCCTGATCATGTCAGTCACAATAGATCAAGAGGGATTTTCTTTATTCTCTATGCATTATGGCACTTTTCTTATAGGCCTCTTGAATTTACATGTGCATTTTGTACTCACATAATTCAGATGAAGATTATGTTTGGATATTATCTTTGGGGTCTGTATTGGGGAAAATCGTGGACGATAATGTTTATTCTATATCTATTTATTTGAGTCAAAAATAATAACCTAAGGAAATGGTAATAAACATGAAAGACATGAAACCATGGCACTCATGCAAAAATATTGTATAATACATGTTGAAGCGTACTCACGTGTTCCTTTCTATTTTAGTAAGGAGCTTTGTATGGATACCTGCAGATCACCTTTAAAAACATATTAACATAAAACATTTGTAACCCATACTGGTTTTAACAGTGAAACTGGAATTAAGACATGTAGGCCTATGTGAATGTTAAACACCCCATGGAAAATAATTTGAAATTAATAATTTTGAAAGAAAAGCGATGTGTTATCTGTTGTAGTTAAAATTTGTCTGACAAAAGTGGCATTAATTCATTGTAGAAATAAGAAAAGTAAAATCATATACATCATATACATATACACAGTCATATACACGACACCTCAAAATGTCCGTTTAAATGTAACATATTGTATACTAGGTTTTAACAGTGCAAGTATTTTCTACCACATGACACCATGAGTCTGATGTGGTTGGGAGATGTGTGCGCTTTTTCATTTAGCTTAATCTTTGCCTTTAAGTGCAATTAAATATTCTCAGGAGACCCACTGTCCCCCAAAAGTCTCCTCACGTGTGTTGTTTCATTCAAGTGTAGTTCACAACTCCGAAAGTTAGCGGGTATCGAAAGAATGTGTATCATGTTGACATGGGTTGCATTTGGAAAGTCTTTTCTTATATCTGTAGCTGCCATGTGCCCTGACAAGTTGTTGTTTAAACAAACTTTTTAAATGAACCAGAACATTATGAGTGCAAAGGTCAGGCTCCTGCTAGTGTCATCAGCTCTCTCTTCAAAGCCCGTTCATGTGACCAGCAGACCAACCATTACATCAACATATGATAACTTTCTACATATATTTTGAGTAGATAACAAATAGTATATTTTCAATGAAGGGTATGTTTGCTGTTATGGTTACTATCTGGAGACGTACATCTAAACCCCGGGCCGACAAAAGCTGGTTCGAGCATTCCTGTGCCACATGGACTCCTGGGAGAAATTTAAACCCTGGGTCGGCAACTGAACACTTGGACTTGTTGATGGTATACAACACCAAGCGAAGGTTTTGCAGCAGGGGAGCTTAGGGGTTGGATTCAAGCGCAGTCTACATCCTGCGATTGTGAAACCGCATCAGATCAATTTATTTAAAACTGTAAATTATGCACGGATTTTATGGAACAGTGATGCAAAACCAAAAGGTTTGTTATATTGTCATTTGAATATTCACAACATTATGGCAAAGAGTGATGAAATGAAACATCTTGTAATTAATTCAAATTTTTATTTTCTATGCTTGTCTGAAACATGGTTAAATACTACTTCGCCATCAGCAATGTTACGTATTCCTGGCTAAAATATTTTTAGAAGAGATAGTGTAATGAATTTTTACTCATTTGTAATTGTAGGGAATTAATTATTATTAAATCATTCAGGTTTTGAAAGGACTCGAATCTGAATAAGTCGAGGTCCACCTGATTAAACTGATTTTTAATCTAAATGGTTTACACTCGGCCAGCGAGAAGATGTCAGTGTATATTACCAATTGAATATGTATTTTATGTTCTCCCTGGCCATGGGTTAACACAATTATGATAATTTGTCAGCTCTTAGAGAGGTAACGTTGATCTTGGCAAAGTTTTAACCTTGAAATTATATGACACCAAACCAATGATTTTCTATAAATGAAACATGAATTTTATTGGCTATTCTAGATTACATCAAAACTAAACTAAAACACACATACACACACATATATACAGCTCAGAAAATTGAAGGAATGAGTTAACGGAGTTGCATGACGTTCAAAGATCTAAACTCGTTTTCACGAGTGGTTTTAAAATCACCTGAGAGAATTCCTGAAGCAGAGAATTTTAGCTTCTGTTTACTGCTTAAAGTAGCTCTACACCAGTTCAGCAGAGATAAGATTTTGCTCGTTTACTTGCGTTCTGCTGGGTTGGCAGCTGAGAAGCTGAGTCGTTCCTCGTGGCTACTGGATGACTGGATTGGCTGTTGCGGTGACGTCGGAATGACGTTTGAATGAGTCCTTTTGGGAAAGCCCTCGTTGGGTTGGTTGGTTGCCGGGTTACGGAAGAGCTTCGGGTTCTTCTGAGAGAGAGAGAGACTGCTTTAGCAAGGCTTTGTGTTCTGCAGAGTTGCGAAGCTTCAACTGAAGTGTTTGAGTTCTTAGATGGTCTCGCTTGGGCAATGTTACGGCGTGGGGGCGCTTTGTCGCGCTCATAAAGGTGAAAGCCAAAGTTCTTTAGAGTGAGAGAGCGAGCGAGCTCCGAG